GCAGCCCGGCGTCCATGAGCATCTGCCGCAGCAGCTTGAAGTTGCGCTGGTGCTGGCGGCGCAGCGCCCGCCCCTCGGCGCTCTTGAGGACGCGCACGGACTCCAGGGCTCCGGCCAGCAGCATGGGCGGCAGGGAGGTGGTGAAGATGAAGCCGGCAGCGTAGGAGCGCACGGTGTCGATCAAGGCGCTGGTGCTGGCGATGTACCCGCCCACGCAGCCGAAGGCCTTGCCTGCGAGGAGAGGGGAGACACAGGCTGTCAGTCCATTAGGAGCGGCGCTGGGGCCGCGGGCGCCTGCTTCCACCTCCTTCATTGGACGTCAGACTGAAGGAGAGGACGTCCACCCACCTCCCAAAGGGAGGACCTGAGGAAACCGGGAAAGGTCCTGCCCACAGTCCGTGCCACCCTGGCGCCTGGTCCCAGGGCCTGAACCCCACAGTGGCACCTGGTCCCAGGGCCCGCACACAACACACTGCAGCCTGGCTCGACAGCTCCCTGCCCTCCCCTGTGCATGCGCTCTGGGGCGACCTCTCCCTGTGAGCATCACCCTGGAGGTGGGGCTGTCACCCAGCGAAGGCGTCATTGTTTTGGTGGGGCCCGTATTATTTCCTACTTAAGTAAACACAAAACTGACAATCAGCATTTATTTACCAGATAAACATGAAAACTCAGAACCCGTGGGAGGTGGGGGTGATATGGGGCCAGCCTCATCTTTCATCCCCTAAGTCCCTTTATGTAACCTGTTCTTAGGTTTCAGGATCCCCAGCTCCTCCCCTGAGCCCTCACCATTCACTCTGCTCTGTAATTAACATTCTTGCTGGGACCCCCTGCAGGGCTGGCAGCTTAAGCTCTTCTGGGAAATTCCTTCTCTCGCCTTCCCATCTCCCGCCTTCCTCTCGCTGAAGGAAGAGCTTCGGGTTAGGACATGAGCCGGGGCTTTCTCTGGGAGGGGGGCCCAGCTCGCCGGTCAGCTTGCCCAGGGTCTGCCTGGGGTCCTTGCTCCTCCACGACTGCTACTTGGGCCTCCAAGTGCCTTACTAACTTGAAATCCTCAAATTTATGATTTACATTTCCATCTCTTCAGAGAATGTCCACAGTAACCGTTTCCACACGGTTCCGTTACCTTCTCCACAGAACCAGAGGGAGGGGCTCTCACTGTCCCACTGCGGACGCTGAGGCCGGACGGCTAACTGCACCCGGGGTCACACAGCGAGTGAGCTGTGCACACAGGACTCACACCGAGTCCGGCCCCAGGAGACCCTGCCTCTCGAGGAGGGGGAGCTGTGAGGTGGCTGGTCCCCACGTGGCAGGCATGTGGCTCAGAGCTGAGCACCATGACACCGAACCTCTGGTCCTACAGCTGCTCGGACACCAGCCCTGGAATTCTAGTTCTCCGACCCAGGGGACAGTTGGAGGCGCACAGTGCAGGTTGCGGATGGGGTGGCGAGAGCCATGGCTGTCTGGATGGGCTCGGACACTTCTGTCGTTCCGGCCGTGAGATCTACTTTGATCCTGGAAGCCAGGCCTCCAGCTCCGAGGGGTTCTGCTAGGCTGCGCCAGCCCCTCACTGAGAAAACAAAAACTCACCCCAAAAGTGTCCCAGGCTTCCTACGCTCCCCTCCTGGCCCCGTCAGGCCAGCCAGCCGTGGGCTCGCTGGGACAGGGGTGCTCAGTGCAGACTGCAGGGCGCGCAGAGCACGTACCGAGTGTTCCAGAAATTATGTCCATCTTGGGCATCACTCCGTCCCGGTCGCCAATCCCTCCGCCTTGGGCCCCGTACAGCCCCACCGCATGGACCTCGTCCACGAAGGTGATCGCCCCGAACTCGTGGGCCACGTCACACAGCTCTTCCAGCGGGCACACTGCGCCTGGGGGGACACAGACACGCTTATCATTAACACTTCCCTGTCTCCAGCTGGACTCAGGTCTTAGAGCCGAGTAAAAGCCAGAGTAGAAGCTCTACCTTTACCCAAATCTATCCAATGTCCACCAATCACAAACCCTAGCAGACAGGTCAAAGGAAAGAAATTGCAAAGCCAAAATAAAGACACCTTTAAAGAGTTCAAATAAAAGAAAACAAGAAAGAGTTCAAGCCAGTCCTTCAGTTCAGGTTGCAGACTGGCCCTGCGCAGACTCACCGTCCATGGAGTGGACGGTTTCGAACGCCACGATCTTGGGGACCTGGGGGTCGGACCTCTGCAGCAGCTCCCTGAGGTGGCCGACGTCGTTGTGGCGGAAGACGTACTTCGGCACTCGGCTGTTCCGAATCCCTTGGATCATGGAGGCGTGGTTCCCAGAATCAGAGTAAATCTCACAGCCTGACAGACAAAAAACGTTTGTTTATTGCCATCTGCACCGAAGACAAGTTATTTCCTAGACAGTCAGGGACAACCAACTGCACAGAAAACGCTGCTTCCGCCCCGTAGGAGAAAGCCACCGCGAGCCTGTTTCTTCCTGCAAAATTCCTGACTAGGGCTTCTCCTTTGAGAAGGCCCACAGGTGCAGTCGCCCTGCAGCAGGCGATTAACCTGCTTTTAAATATGGCTGCCTCGCTCCAAACTCCGTCAGAAAAGAGCTACAAACAATGAGAATTTCCCACGGGATTTTCGTAGAACACACAGCGCATCTGGAGCAATGAGCTTACGGACAAGCCCTTGCAATCCAACCCTTCGCTGGGGTCACGTTCGGCTGGAACTCAGAATGCGCGCCAACACTCACGCCCAAATCAAGAACAAATGCCCCAGATGCGCCACTCCTCGTAACTGGTGCTAAGCCTTTGTTGTCAACATTCCTCGCACACTAAGCCCGCTGCCCGCAGGGGCCACGGTCCAAGACCCCCGGGCAGGACTGAGCCACACGTACTGCTTCTCCTGGATGTACACACCTCCGCTCGAGTTTGATTCACACACTGTGCAATCTCAGGGGCAGAATTCTTTCTTACAGACCTTAGCCACCTCTCCATACAACTTTTCTTCTTAACTTTCCCGTCACTTAAGGGAGCACTCCACGGCCGCACTGGGCACGTCCGCATCGCCAGCAGCGCGCCCTGCGCTTCGGGGCCATTATTAGTAGGTAAGGGAGACTTCAACACAAGCACCACCTATCATGACAGCGAGTCTGATGACTGAGACGCCGCTGGGTGCCTAGCGGCGAGGAGTGCGTGCAGCGGGAGACCTGGCCAGAGGGATGAGTCAGGGCCCAGGTGGGACGGAGCAGGACTCTGGAGATTGCATCACACAACTCAGAGTTACACCCAGTGGAAAACCTGTGAATCACTTGTTTCTGGAACTTTCCATGTAATAGTTTTGGACTGCAGCTGACCACGGGAAACGGAAACCACAGGAAGTGGGGACCAGGCTCCCTACCGGGCATCATCTTCGCCAGGGTGAAGAGGGTCGAGTCGTTGGCCACGAAGCAGGAGGAAAACAAGAGGGCCGCGTCCTTCCCGTGGAGGTCGGCCAGTTCCTGCTCCAGGTCCACGTGGAACTTGCTGGTTCCGGAGATGTTCCTCGTGCCCCCGGCACCGGCGCCGTGCTGCTTCAAGGTGTCCCTGCGAGAGCAGGCGGACAGCACGTAAGCCCCTCCCTGTGAGCCACGCGACCGGTCCCCTCCAGGCCTAGGAGACAACTCCTGTTCTGGGAGCCCTCGCTGTGAGCCTGGGCCCAGGACTCTCTACCAGCGTCGTCTCTAGATGCGGAGGGAGAAGGTCCCAAAGGTGAGGATGCCTCCAGGGGTCACCTGAGCACTCGGCATCGGCTGGTTTCTTGGCTGTGCCTCGGCATCAGGCTGCAGAGGGGCCCTGGACGTGGCTGCCTCAGCCTCTGCAGACCAGCCGTGCGACGTCAGGGCGGACTGTCACTAACCTCAGAGGGGTTCCTGGCAGCGAGCAGAGTCCCCGGGCAACTGGCCACGGCAACCCTCCCGAAGGACCGAGTGAGGTCGACGCCTTTTGAATGTCTTTCTGAAGTGGCAGGAAGTGGACACAGGTGTACGCTGAACCCCTAAACTCAAACTTCACACACTAAGGGGCCCCAACAACTGCCTGCACGTCAGGTTTAAGAGTCCCCCGTAGCCGTTTAAAGGCTAAGGACAGGCCTTCGCTGTGGACTTCACTTTCAGCTGCGGCCCCAACCCCCAGGAGAGCCAGTCCCCATAAATCATCAGCGTCCTGCCGAACGCCGCCCGCGGGACCGGACGCCCAGGGCTACTCACATGACCGCCCCGCACACCCGGGGGTGGCGGCTCATGCCCAGGTAGTCGTTGCTGCACCAGACCGACACCTGCTTCTTGCTGACGGAGTCCGAGTAGTCGTCCGCCATGGGGAAGAGCTGTGCCCTCCGGTTCACGGTTTTGAACACACGATAGGTGTGGTCGTTTTTTTTCTCATCAATTTTCTTCTCAAAGAAACGATCGTACTGGAAAGTGGAAACAGCTAAAGACCCAACGAGAGAGAGCAGAGCCTGGTGGTTAGGAAGCACATCTGGGCTTGGCTGAAAGACCCGGTTCCCATCCCGGCTCAGCCGCTAAGGGGGGTGCTGGGCAAATGAGTGATGTGTTCATATGGGCCAGTGATGCACGTCCTCGTCTGGAGACTGTGCCTGGCCAGTGCTTGCCCCTGCGCCAGTGTGGATGCAGATGCTGAGAGAAGGCAGGTGCCAGCAGGGCTTGTACTCACTATGGCATCAAGCGGGGACACGGCTGTAGTCCCCACCTCACGTGCGATTTGGGGTTGAGCGTGATATGTGCTTAAGTTCTAAACTCCCCTGCGTCAGGCAAGAGCTTGAGACTTACACTTCGGCAAGTTATCCTGGAGCAGGTGGGACACCCTTTCCGGCCTTTGCTTTCGCATCATGTCCTGGAAGTTCTTCAGCAAACCACTCGGCTCCCCTCCATGCGTCTTCGTGCTGATCACACTGGGGCTCACTGAGGCCTGGGCAACCTCTGTAACGAAAGCAACAGAGGCAAAGGGGACCCCAATGAATTCCAAGTCACAATTCCTTCCGGACACGTTGTCTCCCACAGCTGGCAAAGCCCATGGTGACCGCAGTTGGCTGTAACGGGGTGTGAAGCTTCGCTCCCCCTCGGCTACTGATTGGCTAGAGTCAGAGCCACCAGCCAGCCTCAGCGAATGTTTGAGCCTCAGCCAAAGCTCCCTAGCTGACTGACAGGTCTTCCCCAGCCACCACACCCCCAACCCTACTCTGTTTTCACTGCAGAAAACAATTCCAGCCGAGGGCTGCATTTCTGCTGGGGACGTTTTCCGGGGACCGTGGGTGCTCCATGGGGAAGCCACACTGTGATGAAGGTTGCCACTCACTAACCATCGGCGAGACACACAGCGTGGGAGTCCCAAGACATCACGTACTGCAGTGACACTGTTTTTACCTTTCATCCCATCAGACGATGGGGAGACACAAAGGGGAGTGGGAACAGCTATGCCTGCAGGGTGTGCTCAGAAACCAGGCGGTTCCTGTAAAAGCTGGACATGCCACCCCGACAAAGCCCCACGTTGCGCAATGCACCCCTCTTCCCATAGCTTCCTCCTGGGCTCTGCAGGGGAAGGTGTTTACACAAGTTCTCCCAGCGGCAGCTTGTAAATGAACCCGAGGGTCCGAGAGAGCCGTGTGGGGCGTGCGGGGTTACCTGTCCTCACGGCGTGCATCTCCTGCACGTCCTCCTGCAGCTCCAGGCTGGCCTTGCGGAACACGCTGCTGCCCTGCTGGCTCATCTGGGCTGCCAGGAAGGGGCATTTGCTTGCAGCGCCCTGGCTCGGGGCGGGGGCCGGGTGTCCGGGGGGAAGCTGCGTGCCATCTCCAGCTGGCAGCGCCTCGGCCTTGGCAGTTTTGTCCTCTGTGGGGGGAACGGAAAAACTGAACCCCCAGACATGGTTGCACACCTCACAGAAAACCCCGTTTCTTTCTCTTACGGCCCCAAACTTGGTACTTATTCTATCCACCACCACCCACACACACAGATCTACAGTCGGCAGGATCTATAGCAGCCGGCTCCGCTGCCTCACAGGAGACAATTCCTCACACACAGTGTGTCCTGGTCTGACTGCCAGGGCTCTCGAGTTGGACTATTTCTAGTAAATCCACCCCAAATAATTCAGCGTGTTTCTTGAGGTCACACTCTCAAAGGTCACTGGAAGTGTTCATAAAATTTCTGCTCTGCTAATATTTTCTTCAAAAAAGTATTCTTATTTATTGATTTCAGAGAGGAAAGGAGAGGGAGGGAGAGAGAGAAACATCAGTGATAAGAGAGAATCATTGATTGGCTGCCTCCTGTGTGCCCCCTACTGGGGATCGGCCCGCAACCAGGACACATGCCCTGACCAGGAACTGAACCCTGACCTCTTGCCTGGTACATAGATGGAGGCTCAACCACTGAGCCACGCTGGCCGGGCTTTGCTAATATTTTCTAAACAGATTCTTGACAAAGAAGCCTGCTGTTTCTTGACAGATGCACTGTTGATTTCCTTCTTAACAAAGGAAATCAGGTCATTACAGAGTAAGGTCATTGGGCTACTGCCTGCTAGAGCTCAAGTCATTGCTAAGTCACAGGCACACACCTCAGCTACTTTCTCATCACAGTTCACCGACGTCACACAATGGGCTCCTAGTTACAACGACTTCCCTCTTCTCTTGAGCAAATTCATTCACCTTTCTTCTAGAAAAGTCTTTCTTCATCATTCTGGAATATCCCTGTGAGTCACAGGCCAGCCTCTTACACCCTGAGTAATGTGTCACAATACACTTTTTATTAAAATCTTCTGTAAAGGAAAGTTTACAAAACTGCTTTGAAATTCGCTTCATTCATTACACATAGTCAATGTAGGAAGTCTAGGAAAATGAAAAGAGTTCTATCATTCAAAACATAACCTTTGTAGCCTGGCTGGCGTGGCTCAGCTGATTAGAGCGTCACTAAAAGGTGTAGGCGGCTCGATTCCCAGTCAGGGCACACACCCAGGCTGCAGGTTTGATCCTTGGTCGGGGCATGTGCGGGAGGCAACCAATCAATGTCTCTCTCTCCCTCTCTCTCTGTCTCGCCCTCCCTCCCTTCATCTCTCTGAAGCCAATTTAAGAAATTGATTATAAAAAAAGAAGCAAGACATAGCCATTGTAGACATTTGGGTGTGATCTTTTATTCCCCTATGCACAGGTTTAAAAATGTTTTTCTCCTTCAGTAGATGCTCGTTTATTCTCCTCTTTTCACTACAAAGATCTAAGCTAGTGGTTTGTGAGCGTCGTTTGTGATGGTTCAGGGTAGCCTATCAAGTGGACTAGCCACATAGCACTCGACCGTTCCCCCTGCTAGGGACACAATGGCACGAGAGGGTTCCGACTGCTCAGAGAAAAGGTCAAGAGGAAGAGCAGTCCTGCAAAGGACGGAGTCCTTTCTGCTTAAAGAGAAAGACACGCCTCTCCCACAACGTCCACCCCGAGAACTCCCGACAGAGCCTGGGAGGAAACTGGTCTCTAAGGTTAAGGGGCATCTGAAACGCTCACCCGCTCCTGGCACGGCCAGACCACACCTGAAGCACCTCTCATCTCTTTACGAAAAACAGAAATGTTTAAGTTGTGTACAAAAGAAAGATACATGTGTTAAACAATCCTGCTTCAACACATTCTGTGTGATTCCCCTGGCAGGTGGTTCCTAGAGCAAACCATAGGCAGAAAGGAGACCAGCGCTGGCCAGGGACTGGGCGGGAGGGCGGGGAGGGGGAGGGGGAGGGGGAGTTAGTGTTTAATGGGGACAGAGTTTCAGTTTTGCAAGATGGAAAGGGCTCTGGAGATGGTGGTGATTGCACAACAACAGGAATGTACTCAATGCCACGGAACTGGGCATTTAAGAATGCTTGATGATAAAAAAAATTTTTAAACCTAAAAATAATCATTATTTTAAAAATAACCTAAAAAAGTATTGAGATGGTACATTTTGTAATGTACATTTTACCACAATAAAAAAATAATACTATATAAAAGCAAATTAGGAAAAATAAATAACTTTAAAAGCCAAAAAAAGCTTCCCCTCAATTTTGCTTTGAACGTAAAACAGCTCTAAAAGTAGTCTATTGAAAGAAAGAAAGAAAAGAAAAGAAGAGCCACGCCAAAGGGCCAATATTTAATGAAGGGACGGCTGGGACAGAACATGCCCACTTTCCACTTCCACGAACAAGGCACTGCCGCCACTGAAACGCCCGAGTCCTGCGACCAGAACCCAAAGTGACCGCTGGCCGCCGCTCCCCCTTCAGAGATGGAAAACCCCAAGCGCCCACCTGGGCGGCGAGGGCGACACTGCTGTGAGCTCACCCCTGCGAAGAACTGAGCGCCTCGGCTGGCATGACCCCCACCCCTGTGGCCTGAACCCACTGGTGGCTAGGACACTCACTCTGGGGGGCCGGAGGGGTTTCCTTGACTTGCTGGCCGTGCGCTGCAGACGTGGACAGGGCCTGGGGGGCTGGCCGGGCCCCCACTTCCATCATCATCTTGGGGCAGTTTTGGGCGTAAAACAGCAGAGACTTGCCCGCCTTCTGCAGAAAGGCCTGCGGCACCCGGGACAGGAAGGGGCAGCGGCGGACCACGGTCTCCATGTCGCGTCCGGGAGGTGCACTGATCCTGCGGGGTTGAGTGACACCGACACTTGTTAATAATCAGCGGGCACATACCCCCGCGAGGTCACCCGGTTCCGGTGTCGCCTGTACTTCGCGCCAGGGGACTGGGGGTGTTAAGAAGTCCCACTCGACAATGTCCACGAACAGCAGGGATTCAGAGCTCACTGCGGACGGGCGGCCACCTCCACCCAGGTCCCCAAAAGCAGCCCAGGTCCCAGCTCCACCGAGAGGAGTGAACCCTGACTCATGCCCAGGGGTGGGACACGGAGTGGGACCCGGGGCCGAGTGGGGAACAGGTTTGGGAGGTCGGCGCTCCCGGAGGATGCAGAGCACACACCCAGGTGCCAGAGCGAGGCCGGGGAGAAGCCACTGTCACCCGCCCGGCAGAAAGGGCTCCTCCCGGTCCCCCAACCCGAGG